AAACTAAATAATTTAACTCGTTGGGACTCCCATTTGGAATGCTTAGAATCATTATCATCATTGTTTAAATCAAAAGCCGAAATTCAACTAACAATGGGAATTCTGCAATCAAATAACAACATCAACACGAATCTAAAATCAGATTGTTTAGATCCTCAGTTCTGGAATCAATTGGAAGCGATTATAATGATTTTAGAACCAATAGCCTTTTCGTTGAAATTATTTGAATCCAACGAGTCAGTACATTCATCAATTTATCCACTGTTCAATGATTTATTTTATAAGACGAAACAAATAAATTGCCAATTCAAATCACAGGTGCTTAAACTAATTGGGGAAGGATATGAATCTATCTACAAGGATTCGTTAGCAGTTGCATATATGCTAGATCCAAAATACTACGAAGAAAGCAACAAATTGGTGATTGATTATGAAGTAATGGGGACTTTTACTAGTTTCCTCAATGCAAAATATCCCGATAAATCAAACGAATTACATCTAGAATTTTTAAAATTCCGTAATAAAATGGAACCGTACAATGATCAACTAATTTGGAGTTGCGTTGATCAAGTAGAACCAAGTTTGTGGTGGAAATCTTGGCCAGAGAGCGAATTGAAAAGGCTTGCTGTCAAACTATTGTCAATTCCAACCTCTCCAGCATCGGCTGAACAGGACCTTTTAAATGTTAGCTTTATTCATCCGAAACTACGAAAACATTTAGATGATGAAACTGTAAAAAAATTAGACTATGTACATAGTAATTTAAACATTGAAGAAATTCAAAACAAAAAGAATAATCTATTAAATGTTGATTTCAATGATGATAACGTCGTTGAAGATGTTTTTGAAGACTTGAAAACGTTTAATTTTGAAGTAAACATTAGAAAATAGTTTACTACAAAATGTATATAATACAGGTATAATAATAATAGAAATTAGAAGTAAATATTATTATACCTAGTTGTGTTGATATGTTGTAATATTAAAATAAATTTATGTAAAACTAGTTTTACACTTTTCTTCATTTTAACTATATAAAAATATTATCCAATGTAATGAGTGTGTTATCTGATATTTGGAGGTCCAGAAACTTCTGATATTGCAAATTCAATTTTTAGAGATTTTGTTATCCACACTGTATCAATTTTCCTACCACTACTCCTCTCCTCATCATCACTTTTATTCTTGACTTGATCATCTGCCAAAGCAAATAAATTCTTCTCATAACTGAATATTATTATTTCATTTTATATTTTTTAAAAAGAA